ATGATCTGAATGTGGATGTTGGCCCTTAGCCCATCCTTGGCTAAGATAAATTCAGTCCCGTTCAGGAAGCATTTATTGAGTCTGTGTGAAGCAAACCAGCAGCAGTGCTCCATGTAGTGCTCACAATGCTCATGGAACAGGCTATTCCTTCCCACTTGTTCCTTCCTAGCTACTAGATGGCATTACTTTTGGTTAGAGCAGCCCAAGACCTGGAATATTACAGATCCTTCCCCCGCTACAGTTCTCTAGTTTGCAGAGTTGCACCACTGTTTTTCTTCTTATTTTTTCTTTCATTTTTTATTAAAGTATTATTGATATATAATCTTATGAAGGTTTCAAATTCACAACACAGTGGTTTAACATTCACCCATATTATCAATTCCTCACCCCCTCCAGTGTGGTCACTGTCTATCAACATAGTAAGATGTAACTGTATTCTCCATGCTGTACTACTGTCCCCATGACCAACCTATATTGTGTTTAAGAATTATAGTGCCCCTTAATCCCCTTCTCCATACCCCTGCACCCTCCCCAACCCCTTCCCTTTGGTAACCACTAGTCCTTTCTCGGTGCCTATGAGTCTACTGCTATTCCGTTCCTTTCATTTTGCTTTGTTTTTATACTCTATAAATAAGTGAATTCATCTGGTATTTGTCTTTCTCCACCTGGCTTATTTCACTGAGCATAATACCCTCTACATCTATCCATGTTTTTGCAAATTGCAGGATTTATTTTCTTTTTATACCTGAATAATATTCCATTGTGTATATGTACCACATATTTATCCATTCATCTATTGATGAACACTTAGGTTGCTTCCATATCTTGGCTATTGCAAATAGTGCAGCGATAAACATAGGGGTATGTTTGTCTTTTCACATCAGGGATCTTGTCTTCCTTGGGTAAATTCCTAGGAGTGGAATTACTGGGTCAAATGGTATTTCTATTTTTAGTTTTTTGAGGAACCTCCATGTTGCTTTCCACAATGGTTGCACCAATTTACATTCCTACCAACAGTGTAGGAGAGTTCCCCTTTTCCACATCCTTGCCAGTATTTGTTGTTTCTTGTCTTTTGGATGCACCACTGTTTTTTTTACAATGAACTCTCAAGTAAAGAGTTGCTCTCAGAGGTGCTACTACCTCTCTTACTTGTTTTTCCTTTACTGGGTGCAGGGATCCTGCATGATTCCAGGGGCTCTGGAATCAGCCTGTTCCTGGTTGGTTGCTCCTGGTGCAGTCTCCTGGAGGTTGACTCTGCTGGCAACTGCTATGGGAGTTGCACCAATGGCATGGCCACTACCATGGAAGGATTGTTCTGGGGGCCAGCTGCTGGGGACACTACCTAGTCATGATATTCCTATTCCTTTAAAGCCCCTGGACACAATGGGCTGCATTACCCGCACCTGTCCTGGTAGTGTCAAACACAGAGTTTGAATAGAGGTCCCCCAGAGCTCTTGATCATGCACTTTCCACTTTCAGAATATAGCTTTGTTTTCTCTGCTTACTGGTTTTTAACATGAACTCTGTCCTTAGGGTGCACTTGGAAAAAGCAGTGGCCCCAAGAAACATTGGACAATAAACCCCAGCCTTTCTAGAGACCTAGCTTGTACTCTCCCACACCTAAGATTAAGGAAATTGGCTGTGTAAGTACCCTGATCAAAATATGACCAACCTGGCCAGACACTTTTAGATCACCAGCATTTTACCTACTTGCTTTAAAAGACTTGTACCTTATTTTCATATTCCCACAGCTGATAAATTTTCAGATAATTCTTAACCTGAGTCTATCATCCATAACTCTAACCTTATGAAGAAAACAGTACTGCCTTTCTCTCTGCCAACCCAGCTTCCTCTATTCTGAATTGCTTCTACTTCTCCCAGAATACACTGTGTTTCCTTAGATATTAGCATCCATGCACATCCTATTTCTTCTACCTTTAAAACTTTCACTGAAGCAGAGCCCCTTTGATGCCAGTCACCACTTAGGTACAGCTCATCACCCTCCTGTGTGTCACCCTCGTGCCTATCTGCCCTGGTTTCTGCTCCATCGCATCATTAAATGTCTAGTCTCTCCTGCTGGACTGTGAACTTCTTAATAGCAATACCAGAGCCAGGGATAATTAATTTAACTGTATAGCCTCAGTACTAACAGGGTCAAAAATATGTTAGATGCTTACTGCTTATTGCTTAATAGAATAAAAAGAATGAGGTCCCAATAGATTGTCAGGCTAAAGCCTAGCCCACTACATCTGATGATTCATCACATCCCATAGGCCCGCACATACTAAGTTCTTTTTTTGTAAATGTGTCTGGGATGAAGGGATTAAATGAGTGATGTGCTTTGAAACCAGAAATTTTCTTGTTCATTTCCAGTTTCTCTGTGATCAGTACTTTCTCCAATGAAAAAAATCAAAACTTTCTTCCACAAGACTCCATTCTGAGTTTCCCGAAGTTTCTCTCTTTGATCCTGCCACATCCTGCCTACCTGTTATTGAATCTGGATTTTATAAGCATACAGAATAGATGGATTTTGTTACAACAGGCAAGAATCAAAGAATAGACTCTTCCTAACTGATTGGAGTCCCCTGAGGAGGTTACTTCTTAGCATCAGTACAACTCTGGTCAGGTTATGAGTTGTGCAGATTAAATATGATAACATAAAGGGTTTTATAAAGAGGTAAATGTANTGCCATGAGTGTATATATGGTGTGTATATATATATATGTATATATATATATATATATATGATGTTGAGGTCATCAAAATTAAACAGAATGAGGGAAATCCAAGCAGTTGTGAATACTAATGTTGAGATCAGTAAGAATATAATTTTGAAAAGTGCACCATTTATAATTAAAATAGCCAAAGATTGGATTAATTACAAATTTTCTCTATGGTCAGAAAGAAAAAAATCAAAACTGAAATTATACTTGTCATGTCATAAATAATACACCAGGAAGAGTTCTCTAAAACATATCTTTTTCTTTCTTTGATTAAAGTTAATGATATTTGGTGTCCCTTTATTTTAAAAAAGTGTTCCTTTTCCTCACGCTTAATGTGTAGATTAGTACTGCCGATTTGGATTTCACAAGATATGATTTTCAATGGCATTTTTTTAAATTCATGAAACAACAGTAGCATATTTAGCTTCTACTTAAATATTGTAAGAATAACTTAAGGGAAAAGCAGTGTCAAGTTACATTAAAATATAATTTTTTGCTTCAAATTTTATATTTGAACTTCAGTTGTATAGCGTATTCATTTAAAAAGGAAAATGGTATGAAAATAATTGTTTTTGAAGAGAAAAGAAGAGGTGAGAGGTTCTTACAAATTCAAGACAGAGAAAGCATAGTGAAATTGGACTGGGAGTCAGGAAGTGGGTTCTAGCTTCATCTCTGCCACAAAGTAGCTCTTTTAGTTGATTCACAACACTAAGTATGTTTCCCCAAGTGAATTTGAACGCTGCAGCCTGTGATGACAAGCAAAGGGGCCTGTTTCTTGCTGGGGCCTAATCAGGTCATCATTCCTTTAAAGGCGTATTATTGGATTGATTTTTTCACTGTGGTTCTGCTTTATTAGGAGAAGGCACCAAGAGGATTTTGTGGAGAGACATATTACTAGGCAAAATTTTACTCTTTGTCACCTGCCCCCTCAGTCAATGCACTCTATCCTTAATGCCCCTGCAGGAGCCCTGGAGACTCTGAGGGGGTCACACTCTACCTCTGAAAAATTCCATTTTTGGCATTTGCAAAAAGCTATGGGTGATCTCTTTGGGAGGCTGCTGTGGCAATTTGCAAACAGTAGGGGTGATGGGACTCCGCAGGAGATGGCCCCCTTCTGATTGAGTCTGAGTTAATAACGGTCTGCATACTTCGTCCAGCCAGGGACCCGAGAGTTATGTACCCAGGTCCCCAGGAGAACGTCAAACCGGGCCTGTCTCAGGAAGGACGTGCACGGCATAGCTCTCTGCCCGGCCCCCTCATCCGGGATTGCCTAGCTCCCCCCAGCGTCCCCACAACTGCAGAAGTGACAAAATCTGTGACCTTTGTACAAAGGCGGCGGCCGCACACGACGGGACAAGGGTTGTGAGATGGACAAGCAACTTTTCAGTCTGCAAGGGAAAGAGAGGCTGTAGATGGCAAACTAAAAGGAAGGGAAATTATTCATTTGTCTTGGAAGGACAGAGAATTGTCTCTGGGAATGAGAAGAATTAGTGTCACTCCCTTACCGCAGAAAGCTGAAAGGAAGGTGTGGCTCTCCCAGTGGGCGCGCCAGGAAAAGGCTCCGAGTTGTAAGGAAATGGGAGGTGTCTCCGATGTTTATTTTTGCCTAGCAACCCGCAGCCAACAGCTTCCCCAGCAGCAGTCCACACGCGCCTCTGCCTCCCCTTGTCCTAGCCACTGGAGAGCGGTCACTTGGTGTCAGTAAATCGGGGTGGGTGTGCGTGGTGGAGGTGGAGGTGGGAGGGCAGTTCCCTCCTTCTCCTACACTCGGGGTCACCGGGCTAAATTGCGGCCCTCTACTGGACTTGACCTACCGAGGTGATTCTTGCACAACTAAGTTATTGACAGGATAAATTGCGGGTGGATGAGCCACTGGGACCAGGGAGGGGGGTGGTATTGTTTGTGAGCAGCCATTAGGTTCGAAAAGCTGCAATAATTTGTGTTTGGGGGCGCGCATGGAAGAGGAGGGGTCTTGCAGTGATTTCGCTAGGAGAGAAGGAGCGGTAGGTTGCGCGGTAGGGAAAAGGAGGGGTTCTGCAGGGGCTGGAGGCTGGGGAGGGAAAGGTCGTTAGTAGGGGAGCCGAGGTGGGCGGTGCAGATGCCGGAGGGGGAGGCGGAGGGTAAGCAGAGGCTGCAGAGTTTTCCGGGGAGTGGAGGGGTGGCCATGCAGATGATTGGGCCGCGGGGAGGGACTTCTGTGGGCGGCTGGGTGCGGGCGGGGTGTACCTCCGAGTGTGTGGCTGGGCGGGGGAGGCGGGGGTCTGGAGGCGGAACCTGCCCTCGCGGTGGCCCGGAGTGGAGGCGGGGTTGTCCTCCTGGGGCGCGCCGCGCGCGCGCGCGCGCCAGAGCGAGTGTGCGCGGGCGCGCGGGCGGCCGCAATCCCGGGAGGAGGCTCCGAGCGAGTGGGTCCTCGCGGCGCAGCCCGCTCCTCCGCGCCCTATGTGAGGGAATCGGGGAGGCCAGCGGCGCGCAGGGGAGGGCGAGGCATGTGCTCGGGCCGGGGGGTGCTGCAGCCGCCCGAGGAAGAGGAGGACGGCGGCGGCGGCGAGGAGGAGAGTGCGGGGCTCGCGGCGGCGGGCCCGGGCCGAGGGGATGCAGCGGACTATGTGTGTCTGGCTGTAGCTGACGCGAGGCGGCGAGGAGGCGCCGGAGACCCGCGAGAGGGGCGACGAGGCGGCGGCGGCGGAGACTGCAGCCCTGAAATGCATTTTCTCCTCCAGCGGCCATGTTAACCAGGAAACCTTCGGCCGCCGCTCCCGCCGCCTACCCGACGGGTAAGGAGGGCCGGGGCCCCCGCGCCGCGCTTTCGCCCCCGCGCCACCCTCGAGGCGCGGGCGCCGCCGCCCGCCGAAGCTGGAACAAAGTCTGCGCCGCGGCGGGGCAGCGCGGGGAGCTCCGGGCGGACGGCGCGCCCTCGCCTCTGCTCATTGTTGCACGCGGGCCGGGAGGCCCCTCCGAGTGGAGCCCTGCGAGCCTGCCGGGCGGGGACGGCCCCCGGCCTCCTCCCGCCCGGGCTTGGCTGGGCCGTCGCGCTCTGCAGTCCAGTCCTTTTCCCGGCCTGCAACGTGGGGCTCCGAGCTCCGGCCCAGCCCGGCTCTCCCGCGGGGTCGCGAACTCTCGCTTGGGCCCTGCCTAACTTTGCAGCTGCCCGAGCCCCGCCCGTGGGTGCGCGCTGGGGATCCGCGTCCCAGGCGCCGCGTCGGCCCCCCGGACGGCGGTTTCTAGAGTCGGGGCTCTGTTGTAGGGAGAGCGGGGTTTGCTGCCCAGAGGGGCGGGGCGACGGGGTCTGGGTGACTCCCCCCTGACCCTCTTTTGTCTCCTCCCGCGCGTGGCTCCCAGGCCGAGGAGGGGACAGCGCCATTCGTCAGCTTCAGGCTTCCCCAGGGCTCGGCGCGGGGGCCCCTCGGAGCGGAGTGGGGACCGGCCCGCCCTCCCCCATCGCCCTGCCGCCTCTCCGGGCCAGCAACGCTGCCGCCGCAGCCCACACGGTGAGATCAAGCCCGAGGGAGGCCCGGGGGACAGGGTGCGGGAGGGGCCCGGGCATAAACACCGGACTTGAGCGGTTCTGACGCCGGGAGAGGAGAGGTCCAAGAGCGAGTGTCTCCACGCCCCTGGCCGGTGGCCCCTCTTGGATGCCGCCGTCTGCCTTTTGGGCGAGGAGGCCGAAGCTGCAGCCACAAAGGAAGATTCGTGGCGGGGTCCCCCACTTCCTCTCCGGAGCACGCCCACCCCTGCCCTCCTTTTCCTCTGAACTTCCTCCTTGCTGCTTTCCTTCTCTTTTCCCTCCTTTTTCGTCCTTGCTTCCCAGAGCTCCTTTCCCTGACCGGGTAAACAACCCTCCCCCGTCCACCACATTGGGTAGTGGGTATTTATAGAAACAGATCTGTGTTAGGGGACTGCCAGGCTGTCCTGCCCGGAAAATCCGATCCCCAAAGAGCCTCTGAAGTCGGGTTCCAGCCAGCAGGGAGCACTGCCAATTGTCCCCGCGTGTGGAAGCATGTTTTATGAGTGCTACAGTTTTGAGCACAGCAGAAATTGTAATTAACGTTAACAAAAATAAGAGCCATAGCAGCAGTCAAAACAATAAGCCACGTCTGCAGAATTATGCAGTTGGGTGTTATTCACAAGGAAAAGGCCAGCTTTGCTTGGGCAGTTGGGAAGAGAAGGGGATCTGACAGGTGCTGAGGCCCTTCCAAGGGCCCCAGGGAGGGGAGAGCTTCAGCGTGGGGCTACTGGCCGCGGATTAGCAAAGCTGGGTTTGACTGCAGCGTGTACCTTTTCTCAGCTCCCAGAGATCGCTGTCGGATGGTGACTGCCCACCTAGAGGAGGTGTGCACTCAGAGAAGGTGATGCTTTCAGAGGTCTTATTTCCTAACTGATCTTCCCTAGGAACCGCCTAAGATGGTTCTGTGTGAGGGAGGCTTGGCCCAGGATGTGGCTTTGTTTGCCAAGTGAAAGTTGAATTCTTATAGAAAAGGCCATTTCTAACCTGCAGAGGAGCAGCTCTGAGGAATCATGTGTTATGGGGAAACTTGTTTATTGAAGAATTTGTGAGAGGCTGGCTAGAGTGAAGTATCTCCTCTTAGACTTGGACAGAGTGTAAAACGTTTCATAGGAAAATGTTTTGTTATTCCCATTCATTTTCTTTCTCTCTCTCTCTTACTTCCTTTGCTGACACATCTAGACCCAGTTAATGACACATAAGTTAACTGTTGGACTGTTGATGGTGGAAGAGAATCTCAGTGGGCTGGTTGAATCTGTATGTTATGGGGTTGAGTGTTCTTGTTACAGTGACGTTTTAGTTGAGAAATTGCCGTTGCTTTTAGGGGTTTGAGTTTATTTGTTTGATTTGGAATCTTATGAAAATTTGGAAAATACAACATCCAGTTTTTTTCCCGTGTGTGGATGTAGTCACATGACTTGGTGTGACCTGGGAAAGGACTTGATTTGCATCTAGATTTCAGGGTTATAAGGGTGGGCTTTTCTTGGATTAGAGCCTCTTTACGATTGAAATATGTAATGAGATTAGAGAAAATGAAAGGTGCCCACTGGTGGAATAACCTGTGGTGGACTGGAAATGAAAAGATGTGAGGGTGCTTCTCAGTACTGATGTTGGATGTATATCTTACCATATCAAGACTGAAGCTAAAGTTCAGGCTCTCCTGAATCCAGCTTTAACATAGTGCTTGACACTGCTAATTCTAGGCAATTGCATTTAATTTTATTCCAAATGAAGAAAACTTCAATCCATATTTCCACGTATCTTCAGGGTTTAATAAATGTTTAATTTTTAATTCCATAGCAGTTACACCTGGAAAGAGCTATTTTAGAATGAGTTAGTGGGGGGAAAGGACATTAAGGAGAGGAAAATGATCTTGTTATAGAAACTTCCCACATTTTCCCCTGTAAGTGATATAGTAGGTGGATAAATATATGATTATAAAGATTATGAACTTTGGAATTTATCTAGTCCCATTGCCCTTTTGTCCCTATCTTCATGGATATATTATTGTACACTTAGTCATTTTGTTTATCTCTATTTGTTCTAAAAGTATACCAATAACTCTTGATTACTGTTAATTTTTTTTTTAATGTATGGGAGATACTAACATGCTTATTTTTTAAAATTGCCAAATATTAGTATTGTATCACCTTCATAACTGTTTTAACATTTAAAGCACTTTCTAATTACCAGTTTTACCTTTCTAAAATAATTGGAATTAAAGAAGAATGAATATTCCCATTTAAAAATTATTTTGAAGAAGAAAAAGTCGACATTTGACAAAGACTCAATTCTTCTCTCATAACACTATACAGCATTTCCAAGATGACTTCAGAGAACTTTAAAAATACCCAAAAATGTTAGCACAGTGAAATATCAGCTATTTTCCATTTTATTAAGAGATTAAAACTACCAAACTGGTTATAGTATTGTTCTCACATAATTTAACACTCAGATATTTCATAGAGAAGGCTTTTGTTTGTCTCTCCATTTTAACCCATACATTGTAGGTATCTAACAATTGCACTCATTTAGTGTGTATTCTTAAATGTAATAACTACTGTAGTAGGTAGGCAGTGGCAGATTGGATTAAACCACAATCTTAGACTTCAGGAGACTGAGTCAGTGCAAGAGATTTTTAATGTCTGTAAGTTTATGATTCAGATCTGGTGTATGTATTCTGGAAAAGTTTTGGCTTTTCTAAGGTTCCCCGTCTCCCCTTATTACAGATCAGTTAATGTGCTGCTGAACTTGTGATTTTTAGCATCCTACATTGTTTGAGACTCAAAGTCCTCCTTTACTAGAGCCTCTCAAATGAGTCTCAGACCTTAATATCTGGGAAGTTGTTAAAGATTCTACATGTCACTTTTAGGTATTTAGTTGATGAATCTGCTACAGGTATTTTTTAACTGGCTGTCATTTGCCTCCAAGTCTCTGCTGGTACACTGTAGGCCTAATATCTTGTGACTCCGGTCACCAGGGAAGATTTCCTAATTCCCTGGGTGTTAAAACTTCATGTTTTCTTTTGAAGGTACGAAGGTACTTCTCATTTATAATTTAGAGAGGTTTGGACAAGGATATAGGATTTATTGACATGCATTGTCCCATTCAACAGATATTTATTTAAAAAATTTTTTTAAATTATTTTTTTATTGAAGTATAATTGACATACAGTATTATATTGGCTTCAGGTGCAGAACATAGTGATTCAGCAATTACATACATTACTAAATGCTCATCACGATAAGTGTAGTTACGTCTGTCATCATACTTAACTTAAAATATCAACTATATTCCCTGTGTAGCAACAGATATTTATTGAGTGCTTACTGTATATTTAGATTTATGTTAATAGGGACTTCTAAAGATAAGAGGTGACCCCACCCTGGAATTGCTCACAGCCGGGTGGGTACATCAGGTGCTAAAACAATTACAGTAAAATGAAATAACATCCATTCTCTATAAGCAGTGAAAGGGAAAGTTTCATAGAGGAGGTAACTAAGCACCTTATGCATTTTACCTTATTTAATCATAATAGTCCTAATGAAGTAGCTTTGATATCTTCCTTTTATAGGTAAGGACACTGAGGTTCACAAGGTTAAGTAAATTGCCCAAGGTCAGGCAGTTCCTGTAAGAGCTGGGATTCATTATGTGTCTAATTGAAAATCCCTGGACACCTAACCATTATGAAACATGACTTCACCAAAAGTAGAGGAGCGCATAAAACAGCAGGATTTTCCATGGGTCCTGGGGAATCCAGCTGTGTTACTCTGGAAGAGAATAGTAACAGTGGTAGATGACATTGGAAGGACTCAGGTAATTTATGCTCTACTTCTTAGAACTTCATGCTAGAACCTCATGGTCCTGCCTGGAAGTTCTTGCATTATCTGTTCATTATCTTGTATTATCTGTATTATAAATGGAGTGCAGTTGTGGGCTTAAGCATAAGTGAGGGCAATGTCAGATTGACACTTTGCAATGGTAACTCTAGAAGTATTATGGAGAGAACAGATTTGAGGAATTAGAAGCAAGGGAGTGAGTGAGGAGGCAGCTTCAGTTGTCCCAGTGAAAGACAAAAGGAGTGGGAGAGGGGGTGAGACATGTTGATGGGAGAGGGAGGGAGTAGGAGAGAGAAATGATGAGGTTCATGATGACTTCGGAAGACAAGACATTGAGGATTTCCAGGTGTAAAAGCTTAAGTGGCTATGTGGAGGTGAAGTCTTTTGTGTATTGGAAATTGAGGATTATGGGAAGGGTAAACAGAAAAATCATGAGTTGAGTTTGAGTTGCCTGTGGGAAAGGCAGCTAACTGTGGTTGGGCAGGAGGGCTTGTGCTTAGGAGACAGACTGGGCAGGTCCGAGCTGAAGGTGTAGATGTGGCAGATGTCAGCTCTCAAGTGGTTGCTGAAGCCGTGGCTGTCATCAGGATCAGTCAGGAGAATTATGGGAGTGAGAAGCCAAAAGAGATGAGTCTTGAACCCTGGGGAACCCTTGAACCCACCTTAGGGTTGGTAAACTAATAGAGGAGACCAGGAGAAGGCAGTTGGAAGGACAGGAGATGATCCAGTTGTCAAGCTCTCTAGTCCTAGTCACTAAACTTCTTTGATTGTATTTTAAATTAATGCAAAACATTAAAATTTCCATTGCAAAAACTGAAGTGAGTTTCTAATGTTCAAAATGTTTTACTTTGCTATCTTTTCAGGAGTTTCTTAAAGCCCTAAGGCTAATTTTGTCCCTAACGAAGCCTCACACTTTTTGTAGTATGTATACTGGTAATGTAGGTTTTTCTTCTGAAATCCCTCCGTCCTGCTCTGAGGAGAATGGTTCTGAAGAGGTATATTTTGAGTTTCAGGTCCTTTTATTCCCTGGTGCTTAAAAGACCACTGTGAAGTGGAGGGGTACAGAGAGTGAGGCTCTGGAACAAAAGCAATGGACAAGCCTGTACTACTTTAATATACACCTAAGACTTTACCAATTCATTTTTATGTACTGCTCTGCTTTTGGCATAGAATGAAGATAAAATAACCTGTTCAGCTAACCTTACAGAAGATAGGGTTCACTTGGCATAAAATACCACCCAGGAGTTTAATAAAAGGGTCAACTAGAAGAATTCCAAAAGTCTGTGTGAGAAGTAAAATCCTGCAGTCTATGAAATCGATTGTACTTTGGACAGGCCCAAATACTATATGTACTATATTTTACTTTGTTTTAGAAGCATAGAGAAAGCTCATTCCTCAGATAGACAGTGTGCATGCTTTATGCCAGTTAAAGAAGATCTGAAGGCGTTGGTCCGCTAGGAATTTCACTTTATAATCCAGGTTGTCTCAGACCACTTCCTGCATTACTGTATTACATAATACAGAACACTTGTACTCTTTTCATAGTACATAAAACCCAAAAGGTAGGATTCAGAAAGAGATAATAGAACAAATATGACAAAGGACTGGAGGGCAGAGATTCTGCCACTATTTGCTTAGACCTCAGCTAATATTGGTTGAGTAAATGAGATGGGTTTTGAATGACAAATTAATCTTTAAGATTTCATATGAAAATCACTTAGCAAGGTGCTTTCAGATTTGTTGGTGGCTGTCTGAGCCTGGCAAGAACTCCTAAGCAGGAGGAGATCCTGGCTGCTCTACCCGTCACCTCTGCAATAATAATGCTTGGAAGAAGAGTAGATTCTCAGGGAAGGCTTGGGGGCCCTTTGGCTTACACCATCAGTTTTGTTTAGTCAGGAATGTTCCATGCGCCCAAAATAGACATCACTACTTTGTATTCCTTGTTGGAAAGTTGCATATCCCAGAAGCCCAGAGAAATACACGTCTTAAGAGAGCTGAGCCATTGACCAAAGGAAGGCCCTGTACAGTGTGGCAATTGCTTTGTTGAGCTGAATGGCCTTAAATGGTCACTGCAGTCAGTGAAGCCCAGAAACTTTTAAAAATAGGTTAGGGGTTTACAGGCTGCTACAGTGCATATCTACATGGAACCTATCAAGACTAAAAGTGCAATTTTTTTTGCCATCTGATCCTGCATTTTCCTTGATGTAATCAGTTAGGGCTTCTAAGGGATGGAGAAGACTGAGAGTAAAGATCTAGTGTTTTCAGAATAGAGCTAGGAAGATATTAGAGAAAGAGGAGAGAGCAAGACAGATGTGGTCCCTGCCCTCATGTAATAAACTACTAAATGAAAGAGGAAGGGTGTTACCGTGAAGGAGGTGGAGCCTCTATAGAGTCTATGTGTTCAAGCTTTTCCTGTATCCTATTTGAGTTTTATATTGAGTATGGATTGAGTGGAACTCCTGTGATGTGCCAGGCCCTGAACAAGAAAGATGTTCTCTGCCAACATAGGTAACTTACCCAAAGGACTCTGGATATGTACAGCAAACTGCTTGTCTGTTAGGGGTAGCATTTATAGGGTCCTTTTTTATAGGATCCCAAGTTTCACAGCCTTACCAAGCCTGCTAACCTTTTTCCTTTTTTTGTCAGAGACTGTCAGCATCCTATCCACTTTCCCTCTCAGGGTCTTCACAAGGTCCTCTGTGTGCACAGTGCTTTCTGTTTAGTAAACCTGATTTGACTGTAAATTCAAACCAAGTTGGATGTCGTAAAGGTGGAGTGGGGGCTGACATAAAATCCCCCATTTGAAGAGATGGACCTCTTGCATTCAATTCATGTTTCCTTTCTGAATTCTAGATCGGCGGCAGTAAGCACACAATGAATGATCACCTCCATGTTGGCAGCCACAGCCACGGGCAGATCCAGGTTCAGCAGCTGTTTGAGGATAACAGCAACAAGCGGACAGTGCTCACAACACAACCAAATGGTCTCACAACGGTGGGCAAAACGGGATTGCCGGTGGTGCCCGAGCGGCAGCTGGAGAGCATCCATAGGCGGCAGGGGAGCTCCACCTCTCTGAAGTCTATGGAGAGCATCGGGAAGGTGAAAGCCACCCCTATGACACCTGAACAAGCAATGAAGCAATACATGCAGAAACTGACCACCTTTGAACACCATGAGATTTTCAGCTATCCTGAAATCTATTTCTTGGGTCCAAACGCAAAGAAGCGCCAGGGCATGACAGGTGGGCCCAACAACGGTGGCTACGATGACGACCAGGGATCCTACGTGCAGGTGCCGCACGATCACGTGGCTTACAGGTACGAGGTCCTCAAGGTCATCGGGAAGGGGAGCTTTGGGCAGGTGGTCAAGGCCTATGACCACAAAGTCCACCAGCACGTGGCCCTGAAGATGGTGCGAAACGAGAAGCGCTTCCACCGGCAGGCGGCAGAGGAGATCCGAATCCTGGAGCACCTGCGGAAGCAGGACAAGGACAACACCATGAACGTCATCCACATGCTGGAGAATTTCACCTTCCGCAACCACATCTGCATGACATTCGAGCTGCTGAGCATGAACCTCTATGAGCTCATCAAGAAGAATAAGTTCCAGGGCTTCAGCCTGCCTTTGGTTCGAAAGTTCGCCCACTCAATTCTGCAGTGCTTGGAAGCTTTGCACAAAAACAGAATAATTCACTGTGACCTTAAGCCCGAGAACATTTTGTTAAAGCAGCAGGGTAGAAGCGGTATTAAAGTGATCGATTTTGGCTCCAGTTGTTACGAGCATCAGCGTGTCTACACGTACATTCAGTCTCGTTTTTACCGGGCTCCTGAAGTGATCCTTGGCGCCAGGTATGGCATGCCCATTGATATGTGGAGCCTGGGCTGCATTTTAGCCGAGCTCCTCACTGGGTATCCCCTTTTGCCCGGGGAAGATGAGGGGGACCAGCTGGCCTGTATGATTGAATTGCTGGGTATGCCTTCCCAGAAACTGCTGGATGCGTCCAAACGAGCCAAAAATTTTGTGAGCTCCAAGGGTTATCCCCGATACTGCACTGTTACGACTCTCTCGGATGGCTCTGTGGTTCTCAATGGAGGCCGTTCCCGGAGGGGGAAACTGAGGGGCCCGCCAGAAAGCAGAGAGTGGGGGAATGCGTTGAAGGGGTGTGACGATCCCCTTTTCCTTGACTTCTTGAAACAGTGTTTAGAGTGGGATCCTGCTGTCCGCATGACCCCTGGCCAGGCTTTACGGCATCCCTGGCTCAGGAGGCGGTTGCCAAAGCCTCCAGCGGGGGAGAAGACGTCAGTGAAAAGGATGCCCGACAGCACTGGTGCTATCACATCCATTTCCAAGTTACCTCCACCTTCCAGCTCAGCTTCCAAACTGAGGACGAATTTGGCACAGATGACAGACGCAAATGGGAATATTCAGCAGAGGACAGTGTTGCCAAAACTTGTTAGCTGAGCTGAGTCCCCTGATGCTGGTAATCTGAAAGATATGATATTTCTGAGCCTTACTGGGTTGAAAAGGAGTAGCTCAGACCTGTTTTTATTTGCTCAATAACTCAACTCATTTGTATCTTTTCAGCACTTATTTTAATGTAAGAACGTTGTTCATTTTGTTTTTATAAAATACATGGGGACAATGCTTTAAGTTTTTATACTTTCTGAAACATTTTATGTTTTAAAGGTATGATGAGCCTTACTGTATTTAGTGTGGCAGAGTAATAAACATCAGTGGCAGGCCATTGATCACTTCGTGACTGCTGCACATTTACAGATCGGGGTCAGAGACATTCACTATGTTTTTATGGTTCAGAGTATATTCTCCCCAGGGCAATTACCCCCGAAGGTCCCCCATCTTTCTCCATGCTCCTACAAAGGTGTAGCATGTCCTGCTTCCATTTTCGCTAAGTTGTCTGGGTGGTGTGATGGTGGGAGGAGAGTGTGCATTGTCCCATTCAACAGATATTTATTTAAAAAATTTTTTTAAATTATTTTTTTATTGAAGTATAATTGACATACAGTATTATATTGGCTTCAGGTGCAGAACATAGTGATTCAGCAATTACATACATTACTAAATGCTCATCACGATAAGTGTAGTTACGTCTGTCATCATACTTAACTTAAAATATCAACTATATTCCCTGTGTAGCAACAGATATTTATTGAGTGCTTACTGTATATTTAGATTTATGTTAATAGGGACTTCTAAAGATAAGAGGTGACCCCACCCTGGAATTGCTCACAGCCGGGTGGGTACATCAGGTGCTAAAACAATTACAGTAAAATGAAATAACATCCATTCTCTATAAGCAGTGAAAGGGAAAGTTTCATAGAGGAGGTAACTAAGCACCTTATGCATTTTACCTTATTTAATCATAATAGTCCTAATGAAGTAGCTTTGATATCTTCCTTTTATAGGTAAGGACACTGAGGTTCACAAGGTTAAGTAAATTGCCCAAGGTCAGGCAGTTCCTGTAAGAGCTGGGATTCATTATGTGTCTAATTGAAAATCCCTGGACACCTAACCATTATGAAACATGACTTCACCAAAAGTAGAGGAGCGCATAAAACAGCAGGATTTTCCATGGGTCCTGGGGAATCCAGCTGTGTTACTCTGGAAGAGAATAGTAACAGTGGTAGATGACATTGGAAGGACTCAGGTAATTTATGCTCTACTTCTTAGAACTTCATGCTAGAACCTCATGGTCCTGCCTGGAAGTTCTTGCATTATCTGTTCATTATCTTGTATTATCTGTATTATAAATGGAGTGCAGTTGTGGGCTTAAGCATAAGTGAGGGCAATGTCAGATTGACACTTTGCAATGGTAACTCTAGAAGTATTATGGAGAGAACAGATTTGAGGAATTAGAAGCAAGGGAGTGAGTGAGGAGGCAGCTTCAGTTGTCCCAGTGAAAGACAAAAGGAGTGGGAGAGGGGGTGAGACATGTTGATGGGAGAGGGAGGGAGTAGGAGAGAGAAATGATGAGGTTCATGATGACTTCGGAAGACAAGACATTGAGGATTTCCAGGTGTAAAAGCTTAAGTGGCTATGTGGAGGTGAAGTCTTTTGTGTATTGGAAATTGAGGATTATGGGAAGGGTAAACAGAAAAATCATGAGTTGAGTTTGAGTTGCCTGTGGGAAAGGCAGCTAACTGTGGTTGGGCAGGAGGGCTTGTGCTTAGGAGACAGACTGGGCAGGTCCGAGCTGAAGGTGTAGATGTGGCAGATGTCAGCTCTCAAGTGGTTGCTGAAGCCGTGGCTGTCATCAGGATCAGTCAGGAGAATTATGGGAGTGAGAAGCCAAAAGAGATGAGTCTTGAACCCTGGGGAACCCTTGAACCCACCTTAGGGTTGGTAAACTAATAGAGGAGACCAGGAGAAGGCAGTTGGAAGGACAGGAGATGATCCAGTTGTCAAGCTCTCTAGTCCTAGTCACTAAACTTCTTTGATTGTATTTTAAATTAATGCAAAACATTAAAATTTCCATTGCAAAAACTGAAGTGAGTTTCTAATGTTCAAAATGTTTTACTTTGCTATCTTTTCAGGAGTTTCTTAAAGCCCTAAGGCTAATTTTGTCCCTAACGAAGCCTCACACTTTTTGTAGTATGTATACTGGTAATGTAGGTTTTTCTTCTGAAATCCCTCCGTCCTGCTCTGAGGAGAATGGTTCTGAAGAGGTATATTTTGAGTTTCAGGTCCTTTTATTCCCTGGTGCTTAAAAGACCACTGTGAAGTGGAGGGGTACAGAGAGTGAGGCTCTGGAACAAAAGCAATGGACAAGCCTGTACTACTTTAATATACACCTAAGACTTTACCAATTCATTTTTATGTACTGCTCTGCTTTTGGCATAGAATGAAGATAAAATAACCTGTTCAGCTAACCTTACAGAAGATAGGGTTCACTTGGCATAAAATACCACCCAGGAGTTTAATAAAAGGGTCAACTAGAAGAATTCCAAAAGTCTGTGTGAGAAGTAAAATCCTGCAGTCTATGAAATCGATTGTACTTTGGACAGGCCCAAATACTATATGTACTATATTTTACTTTGTTTTAGAAGCATAGAGAAAGCTCATTCCTCAGATAGACAGTGTGCATGCTTTATGCCAGTTAAAGAAGATCTGAAGGCGTTGGTCCGCTAGGAATTTCACTTTATAATCCAGGTTGTCTCAGACCACTTCCTGCATTACTGTATTACATAATACAGAACACTTGTACTCTTTTCATAGTACATAAAACCCAAAAGGTAGGATTCAGAAAGAGATAATAGAACAAATATGACAAAGGACTGGAGGGCAGAGATTCTGCCACTATTTGCTTAGACCTCAGCTAATATTGGTTGAGTAAATGAGATGGGTTTTGAATGACAAATTAATCTTTAAGATTTCATATGAAAATCACTTAGCAAGGTACTTTCAGATTTGTTGGTGGCTGTCTGAGCCTGGCAAGAACTCCTAAGCAGGAGGAGATCCTGGCTGCTCTACCCGTCACCTCTGCAATAATAATGCTTGGAAGAAGAGTAGATTCTCAGGGAAGGCTTGGGGGCCCTTTGGCTTACACCATCAGTTTTGTTTAGTCAGGAATGTTCCATGCGCCCAAAATAGACATCACTACTTTGTATTCCTTGTTGGAAAGTTGCATATCCCAGAAGCCCAGAGAAATACACGTCTTAAGAGAGCTGAGCCATTGACCAAAGGAAGGCCCTGTACAGTGTGGCAATTGCTTTGTTGAGCTGAATGGCCTTAAATGGTCACTGCAGTCAGTGAAGCCCAGAAACTTTTAAAAATAGGTTAGGGGTTTACAGGCTGCTACAGTGCATATCTACATGGAACCTATCAAGACTAAAAGTGCAATTTTTTTTGCCATCTGATCCTGCATTTTCCTTGATGTAATCAGTTAGGGCTTCTAAGGGATGGAGAAGACTGAGAGTAAAGATCTAGTGTTTTCAGAATAGAGCTAGGAAGATATTAGAGAAAGAGGAGAGAGCAAGACAGATGTGGTCCCTGCCCTCATGTAATAAACTACTAAATGAAAGAGGAAGGGTGTTACCGTGAAGGAGGTGGAGCCTCTATAGAGTCTATGTGTTCAAGCTTTTCCTGTATCCTATTTGAGTTTTATATTGAGTATGGATTGAGTGGAACTCCTGTGATGTGCCAGGCCCTGAACAAGAAAGATGTTCTCTGCCAACATAGGTAACTTACCCAAAGGACTCTGGATATGTACAGCAAACTGCTTGTCTGTTAGGGGTAGCATTTATAGGGTCCTTTTTTATAGGATCCCAAGTTTCACAGCCTTACCAAGCCTGCTAACCTTTTTCCTTTTTTTGTCAGAGACTGTCAGCATCCTATCCACTTTCCCTCTCAGGGTCTTCACAAGGTCCTCTGTGTGCACAGTGCTTTCTGTTTAGTAAACCTGATTTGACTGTAAATTCAAACCAAGTTGGATGTCGTAAAGGTGGAGTGGGGGCTGACATAAAATCCCCCATTTGAAGAGATGGACCTCTTGCATTCAATTCATGTTTCCTTTCTGAATTCTAGATCGGCGGCAGTAAGCACACAATGAATGATCACCTCCATGTTGGCAGCCACAGCCACGGGCAGATCCAGGTTCAGCAGCTGTTTGAGGATAACAGCAACAAGCGGACAGTGCTCACAACACAACCAAATGGTCTCACAACGGTGGGCAAAACGGGATTGCCGGTGGTGCCCGAGCGGCAGCTGGAGAGCATCCATAGGCGGCAGGGGAGCTCCACCTCTCTGAAGTCTATGGAGAGCATCGGGAAGGTGAAAGCCACCCCTATGACACCTGAACAAGCAATGAAGCAATACATGCAGAAACTGACCACCTTTGAACACCATGAGATTTTCAGCTATCCTGAAATCTATTTCTTGGGTCCAAACGCAAAGAAGCGCCAGGGCATGACAGGTGGGCCCAACAACGGTGGCTACGATGACGACCAGGGATCCTACGTGCAGGTGCCGCACGATCACGTGGCTTACAGGTACGAGGTCCTCAAGGTCATCGGGAAGGGGAGCTTTGGGCAGGTGGTCAAGGCCTATGACCACAAAGTCCACCAGCACGTGGCCCTGAAGATGGTGCGAAACGAGAAGCGCTTCCACCGGCAGGCGGCAGAGGAGATCCGAATCCTGGAGCACCTGCGGAAGCAGGACAAGGACAACACCATGAACGTCATCCACATGCTGGAGAATTTCACCTTCCGCAACCACATCTGCATGACATTCGAGCTGCTGAGCATGAACCTCTATGAGCTCATCAAGAAGAATAAGTTCCAGGGCTTCAGCCTGCCTTTGGTTCGAAAGTTCGCCCACTCAATTCTGCAGTGCTTGGAAGCTTTGCACAAAAACAGAATAATTCACTGTGACCTTAAGCCCGAGAACATTTTGTTAAAGCAGCAGGGTAGAAGCGGTATTAAAGTGATCGATTTTGGCTCCAGTTGTTACGAGCATCAGCGTGTCTACACGTACATTCAGTCTCGTTTTTACCGGGCTCCTGAAGTGATCCTTGGCGCCAGGTATGGCATGCCCATTGATATGTGGAGCCTGGGCTGCATTTTAGCCGAGCTCCTCACTGGGTATCCCCTTTTGCCCGGGGAAGATGAGGGGGACCAGCTGGCCTGTATGATTGAATTGCTGGGTATGCCTTCCCAGAAACTGCTGGATGCGTCCAAACGAGCCAAAAATTTTGTGAGCTCCAAGGGTTATCCCCGATACTGCACTGTTACGACTCTCTCGGATGGCTCTGTGGTT